TGGCGGGCCACCCCTCCGCCCCGGCTCCCTCCCGCCAGTCCATGGAGCGCACACCGCCTCGCCGCCCTTCCTATCCTCTTCCGTGGGCCTCTCGTCTGCGCTTGGCTCTGGAGACTCCATTCTGCTAGTCTTCTGGCGGTTTTCTGGGTTATTTAGGCAGGTGTAGGTGGAATCTAAGTGATCAGCAGGACGCGCGGTGAGCCCAGCCTCCTCCTACGCTGCCATCTTCCTCCCCAATTCTTTATTCCATAAAGCCGAAAATCTTAGATTTTGATAGAGCAGCTCATGGGAACGTGACATCTGATGTGTTATTATTGTACTCTTTTTCTATGTCAGAATTATTTCATAAAAAAGTAAATGCAAATCAGAAGAGGCACAAATAGACTGCTGTAGCGCTGGAAGCTGCCTACACAGTATAAATGATAGACCCTCTCAAGACCCTCCTGACTGAAGAAATTGTAGGAGGCCATGTATCCTGTCATCCAGCTCCTGTGGAATTTTAACATCATCTTAGATGAGAACAAGCCACATAAAATTTTGTTCAAAAATGCAGGATTATGGAAGTATTCAGTGGGTGGCCAAAGAGAAATAACCTACTTCTGTCCTCAGAATTTGGATCATCTAATCATTGGACAGAGTGGGTGCATTTAAAAATAGCTGACCACTTCTTTACTTCTATGTGCCTACCCCGTACCCTGTGTTTCCTCCACTGAAGTAAGAACTGAATTGTTCACTTGCCAAGTATAATATTTTGTTATTTAGAAAAAGCAACAGCTGAGTCCGAGAGTGTTTTTTTTTCACAGTTCTGTGTTAATAGTTTTTTCCCCCAAAACACCTTCCATAAGGGGCAGAAAATGTTTAACACACTACTACTAAAATATCTTTACTAGATTATTTCCATTAGCTTGCTGCTAAGTTCAGAGAAGTGAGTGAGATGCCATGTCATGTTTTTTCTGTTGTTGACCAGCAGGATGGTATGGTGGGGAAGTGCTGGATGGAAGTCAAGAGACCTGGGTCTTTGTTCTGGCTTAATTGCCACCAGTGACTTTGGGCAAATCCATCCGGATCTGATTCCTCACTTGCCGAATGCAAGCGTTGAATTCATGTCAGTAGTCTAGTCAGTAGTCTGTTACTCGGTTCAGACCTTTGTCTCGTGATTCTGGCTGTCCCAGAGGGGTGCCCAGTGTGAACTTAGGAATCAGCTATGAGTTGGCTCCCTTTCCTTTCCCCGTTAATTTCCTTTATAGCAAAGGACCATGATACCACTTCCCACCAAACCAGGTAGGGGATGGGGGTGGTCTGTACCTTTTGGCCCACTTCTTAGAACAGCTGGAACTCAGGCATGGCCAGTGACGAAAATGTTCCTGAGTGTATTACTCTGTCACTCAGATCCTAGCAGTGGCTGCCATTGCTATTTCCATGAAAACAAGAAGCTCCACCCTCACTTCTTCCAAAATACAACGGCCAGCTTGACAATTCACCTAAAAAAAGTACAGAGAACAAGAAATATCCTAGTTGAGAAATCCTTTCCATGTGGTCTTACTGAAAAGAAGGCAGAATTGCAGATTAATTTGGTGAAAGCCTGACCATGAATTACCTACTTCCTTCAGGACCTGTTCTTTTTAGCAGGCCAACCACTCTGGTCTTGACGTGCCAAATCTAAGTCTACTGATGGAGGAAACAATTCAGCTGAGTAAATTTAGGAATCAGCTATGAGCTGATGTAATATTAATAATTTTTCTAAAAATGTTAACAGTACAGTAAAAAATGCTTATTTCAACTTAATGTTTCATCAACTACTTTAAAATTTTTTAATTTTTATTTATCGTAAAAGAGAGAAAGAGAGAGAGAGCTGGGGAGGGACAGAGAGAGGGAGAGAAAATCTCTAGCAGGCTGCACACTGTCAGTGCAGAGCGTGACATGGGGCTCGATCCTGGGAGATCATGACTTGAGCTGAAATCAAGAGTCCAACGCTTAACTGACTGAGCCATCCATATGCCCCCATCAACTATTTTAAATAGTGCAGAATGCTCAACTTTATCATGTCTTCATCTGAACTCAATGTGCCCTTTTTGCTTATTTAACGAAGTTGTGGAGAGAAAAAGTGAAAAGCTGTAATTAAGACCTCACCTCTCTTTTCTACTTTTTAAGAGACTCTCTTTAAAAATTCATAAAATAGTCCCCTCTATGTTTGTTTATAGAAAGGTTTATAAAGGGTATTTGTGACCAACTTTACCAATATCACCAAACATACTACTCATGTCTCATTGTGATAATCCTGGCGCTGAGTATTTATAATATTATTACCTACTTTAACAAATACAGTTGTGATAGTATATAAGGAAAACGAAGACTAGTGATATTTATAAGGAAATGTGAATATTATTAAAATAAGAAATTTTTTAAAGTTGCTTTTCCATGTAGTTTTGGAATAAGTATATACCTTCTTACATAATTTCCACAGTTGTGTGCAATTTGTAAATCCCAAAGACTTGGATTCCAAAATCCCAAAGCAGTTGTCAGAACAACAACGTCTCTTATTGTAGCCTTGACCGTACCTTAAATGGTGATTGGCTCACTTCATTGTAAGAAGAAGCTGTAAATATTAAAAACATAGTAAATGAGGAAGCAGTTTACAAACCACCATGTATAGAATGCAAGCCCAGTTTTGTCTAAAATATATTTATAGCTATATGCACAGAAAGAAATGCTGGAAGGATGTACACCAGATATTCACAGTGGTATCTTTAGGTGGAGAAATTATTTAAGAGGTTTTTTTTTTTTTTCCTTTCTTCTTTGTGTCTTTCTTTTTCTTTGTTTTCCTGGTTTTCCACACGGATCACTTTCATAATCAGAATGATGATAAGGACAGTGGCAGTGAGGGGGATGATTTCAGGAGAATCTGCCGAGTTTTAAGCATCCTGAACTTCCAACCTGCTCTCTTCCTCCCTGCTCACTTCCCTCCCAGGGTTTTGTTTCTCCCCGCACAGGTGGTAGGGCCCCGTCTGGTCCAGCTGTGGGCTCACTGGTGCACACAGACATCAGCCAGCTTGCAGAGGCAGGGATCGGGTCCTTCTTTCTTAAATAGGAAAAAAGTTACTGTCTTTGATCAATAATGACAGGTATTGTGTCAAAATATTCTAAATATGATATCGCTCAGATTTGTATTCACCTGAAGTGGGGAGCCTTTAGAATGAAGAGGCCTTATTTTATACTTCACTGGAATGGAATTTAGCTTTGAGTTACTTCCATGTAACTGTAACGGGAGCCCCAGTTTCAAATCCACATACGAAGCACTCAGGGCTTCCGGCATGCCTCTCAGACAGTAAGGTTAGCAAAGCAGAATACTAGCCTTCCAATGCCTTGTTTAGTGCAAATCTCTCTTGGCAAAATAGAATTTGAACGCAATGGATGAATGTGTGTATAAGGCATGCTTTTTTTTTTTTTTAATCTTTCATAAAAAAGCATTCAGGTTTAAAATAGAGAGCAAAGTATTCTTAGTTTTCTGAGTTAAAAATATTTGTGTTGTGGTCATGATATTTGCCTTTCTCTACCCATGCCTGAGAACTCCATGAATCACAGTTCTGAAACGTGTGTAAATGCAGGGATACAGCCAATAAGACCACACTATAAAAAGAGAAGCCACAGGTAGTTCCATTTGTCTGACTTGTTTGGGGATGGTTTGAAAATAGCATGTTAAAAAAATGGGTTCAGCAGAGAGAGAACCAAGAAACTGCCTATACTGGTCATAATATTCAGAAGGTTTGGCTCACCGTGCCTTGATTTAGAAGTGTGTTCCTGGGGCGCCTGGGTGGCTCAGTCAGTTAAGCGTCTGACTTTGGCTTGGGTCATGATCTCATGGTTTGTGAGTTCTGCTGTCAGCACAGAGCCTCCTTCGGATCCTCTGTCCCCGTCTCTCCCTCTGCCCCTCCCCTGCTTGCACTCTGTCTCTCTCAAAAATAAACATTTAAAAAAAGAAGTGCATTCCTTATGGTGCTGGGTCATCTCCAGCCGCACTGGGGCCCTCAGTTCCTGGCCGTCTCAGAAGGATTGTGCACTGTTACATCAGCTGCCTCTAAGCAGCAGCTACCTTTAGAGGCAGCAGAGTTCAAGAGTCATAAAAAATTAAAATAGGAAAAATTTTTAAACTTGAATGCAAAGTTAGCAGTTTGTTGGTATACCGTGTGGAGATTCAGTGTAGTTAATCCAGTGATGCCTGATTGCAAATTCTTCTATGTTTCACATTTATGTTGGATTGAGACAGAGAAGCTTAGTTTATCCAATATAATCTTTTTTATTTTTTAGAAAGACTATTATGAGTTATTTACGTAGTTGCCACAAAATGCCAGACAGTTTCTACCTAAAACTTCACAGCAAGTCCCTTGTAAACAAATGGTAACCACAGGAACCACATATTTGGCTTTAGCGCATGACTTTCTGACATACTAATAAGTATTGTATAAAGGTCAGGCATTCTGTATAACAACGTAAACCAGTTGGGGGTCCTTTTTAAAACAAAAATATTTATTTTGAGAGAGAGAGAGAGAGAGAGAGAGTGACTGTGTGTGTGTGTGTGTGTGTGTGTGTGTGCGCATGCATGCAGGGGAGGGGCAGAGACAGGAAGGGAGAGAATCCCAAGCGGGCTCCCGTCCATCAGCACAGAGCCCAACGCAGGGCTCAATCCCAGGAACCATGAGATCATGACCTGAGCCAAAATCAAGAGTTGGATGCTTAACACACCAAGCCACGCAGGCACCCCAACATTTAAGACATTTAGAATCGAAACAGAGTAAAATTTAAAATGTTCGTAGATGGTTCTAATGTGCTCCTGGCTAGCTGCCCAGAACACATATGGATGGGGAATTACTGACTTCCCTCAGTGGGGAAGCATAATCTGGGGTCTCTATATTTTACTAACACAAGTAGCACGAGGACCCCGAGTGGGGTCTACGTTGTGGCTGCTGTGCGTTCCTTGTCCGAGGTGTTTCTTTACGTTTCAGGTGTTCGTGGCCAGTCCTCACAAAACACAGCCTATCGTGGAGATTCTATTAAAAAATCAACCCAAACTCATTGAGTTTCTGAGCAGCTTCCAAAAGGAAAGGACGGACGATGAGCAGTTCACCGATGAGAAGAACTACCTGATTAAACAGATCCGGGACTTGAAGAAAACCACCCCTTGAGGGGCTCACCCACCCTCCTGCCACAGTCACCGTGTCATTTGTTTGTACAGAAAATGTCATTTGAAAAAGTCATTGTTCTTGGGAAGGTTTTGGAGGTGCCTGTTTTTTCTCAATTCATTGTTCAGGGTAGATGGAATATAAACATTTGAATGAAAAATGATTAACCTAGAATAATGTATTCATTTGAATCAAGTCTGGGATGATTTATGTCAAATCAGAGCCATTGTATTAGATGTTGATAAACACAGTTTTAACCCTTTGTTGGCAAGAGGCAGCAGGGTCATGGGCTTGCAGATCTGAGCCCTGGGTCAGCACAGGCCACCGAGTAGAAGCCCAAAGCACGGGCATCACTGAGCCCTCAAAATTAAGTTCTCAGAGGAGAACTGGCCGTGGGGGCGAGAGGCGCAAAACCATCCCGCCTATCTGCACTTGGACACTCAGTTTTGTCAAGGCGCTGAGAGAGCTGGTGAAGTAAGGTCCACGTTTTCAGTCGTCCTTGTTCCCTGCCTGTGTGCTCGGACTGTAGCTAACTTGCTAGGGAAGCACAGCCCCCCTCTCCCTCACTGTCCAAGCCCTGTCGCAGTGGCTCTCCTCAGCACCCGACTTCCTGGGGCACCCCCTGCAACCTCCAGCCTGGTTAGCGGTTAGTGGGGGACCCGCCTAGCAAAGGGAGGATGCATCAGCAGGAGTCACAGGGACTTGGGGACCCGTGGGTAGGACCTGCTCACAGATGGTGAGGCCGGGGGCACTGCTGTTTCACACAGGCTCCTGGAGGGTTAGGGAATGTTTGGAATAATTCTACTGTTCCTCATTGTCATTATGGGAAAAATTTTTGTGGTGAAAGTTGTTTTAGAGTAGGAATCACGCACTGGGATGCCTGGCATGTACAAAACTGTGGGTCTAGAGGGTGAGACCCGCTTCTATAAAGAAGGGAACTTGCCATTGGAAGGGCAAATGAGTAAATGTGTGCAAAAAACTCTTAAATGACCAAAAGTTATCTTTTTTTATCTTTATAATTATTTTCTAATTAGCTGCCACTCTGATTTCCCATCAAAGCTTTCGGCAACAAGGTAGAAACCCTACAAAATTTTGGTCTCAAATATTCTCTTGCATACCCGCATGATTAAGGGACTTAATTTTTGTTCTTTAAAAAAAAAAAAAAAGGCATGGGCCAACAACAAAAAAGGTTATGGTTTGTTTTTAGACCTCAAGTGTATGGAATGAAATCTTAAAGCTATATCTGCAAGACATTAGGGGTATAATGATTAATGTGTATTTTTCGTATCTTTCTAAATCGTGAGGGGTCGCCTTCCATCAGGACCCACGCTTTATACGACACCGTGTGCCGTGTTCTTCAGTGGGCATTTCTCCACCAGAGAGGGAAGGATGCCTCTCCAGGGATCCTCCTCTGGGCTCCGTGCCCTCTGTTGCTTTTGTATGTGAAGGATTACCTGGCAGGGGTCCACCCTTCTTGGCAGGGGCGCAGGTCCATGTGGTTCTGGGCCCAGCGTGGAGTCCTGAGGCCAACGGAGAGGGGCCTGTGGGACCTCGCACAGCAGCCCTGGCCAGTGCCGGCGCGGACGGCCACCCCCACCCGGCGGCACATTCGAGGACCTTCGTTCTTTAGCTGACTGAAGTCAGCTTATTTTTATAACATTCCCGGACAGTCCAGGCTCTCCTAGAATTTGACTTTTCTGATTTTGCTTATTTGATTCAAAGAGAGGACTGTAAACATTCAAAAAGAGAGAGAGAAGCCCTATAATCATTGGAAATTTATTTGGCTGCTAATACTGTTCTGCAACATCTTAGGACACATGTTTCCATTTGGAAAGCAATGCCTTGTTGTAATTCTTTTTTGATAAATAAAATGTTTTATTTCCTCTGGGCATGAATTAGCTCTTGGCCAACAAATCCTTACCCTAGATCAGTACCTGTCAAACAGAAAACTAGAGCCTAAGAGGCCATGAATGAAGTAGATGGGGTTTTGTGTGAGACAAATTTGTAAATTATTAACGTGAAAGGGGGGAGCAAGAAGCTCACAGTCAAAATATGTTTGCACAAAATTCACTGTAAATATTGTGAGAATTGAACTTGGAGAAGATCCTATTTAATAAGCTATTTCAAAACACACATTTAAATAAAGACTGACTAAATAAAAAGGTGCCACACACTCTGGTCAGTTTCCTTCCTCTGCATGTCCCCGGTTTGTGTTCCTGTCACTCCCAACAGGGAAAGCCCCAGGTGGAGGGCGGGCTGGCCTCTAGGCGGCGCTCAATCTGCCCAGAGGCCCCACAGCATCTTCCCCTGCGCTTGACTAACTGCACGGCCTTGTTGCTGTCCCACTGTCCAAGTGAGGCTGCCACTGACAGAGCACCGCCTGCCTGGCACTAAATACACATCTCAGCCAGAGCCACTCCCATTTCATACTTGAGGAAACTGAGGCTCTGAGCAGTTTAACTCTCCCAGACAGCACGAGCTAGCCCTGGGGTACCAGCCCCTGGTGGCCTGAGGCCAAACTCTGTTCCTCCTCCCTCTTTCATCCTCAAAGCTGGGAACCAGGAGAGGCCCAGGGTGTCAGGAAATACTCTGTGCCCTTCCCTGCTGCCGCCTGGGAGGCTCCTGGGGGGCCAAAGGCAGAGTGAGCCAGCAAGGATTGAGATCGTGATGTTCTTGGACGAGGCTCTTGGCGAAAGCCAGGCATCTGCCCAAATGTTAGGATTACCCCTGGAGAAAAGGCCGAGTGCACACAGCCCTGGTGCAAGCTTTCTCAATCACCGGCCTCCCTGGGTTCTCTTCCTTGGCGGCTCTGGGGGGGCATATCTGCCAGGGAGAGGGAGGAGCAGGTGAGCCTCTCAGAGCCTCGGTCACCAGCCAACTGGTCTGTGTGATACAAAGCTGCTTGGAGCCACAGTGCAGTGTGGAAATTACACAAGACCTGGAAGAGATCATAATAATGTAACAGAAAATGAAATAGGAGAGTCACACTTTTTTTTAATATGAAAAGACAGATGTTTCCAAATAGACTTACAGATCTTTCTAGTCTACTTATATGAGCCAAAACTAAGATTTTACACCTTTTTTTCCCCATTTTATCCAAAACATTACTGTACGTTTGGCATGAAATCGCCAACATTTTGTTCTTCCAGGAAGGTTTCGGATGCTGTAGTCAGGGCCTGTTGGTGGACAAAGGTCTGAAACAGATGAAGCTAGATTTGGTCTTCCTAAGAAGACTGAAAAGACTGAAGATGGATGTGAACAAGGCTATCATTTTATTTTTGAAATCTGGAAAGTGCTTTTATGTTGCTACCATAACGAAAGCATAGTAAAACAACATGCTAAGCCTGGCTTGCACTAGGCCTCTACAGATACGTCACCTCGTGGAGGAGAACGCAGTGACTGAAAGGGTAAGGAACGTACTCCATGTCAAACAGCCAGCAACAGAGCCGGGATTTAAGGCTAGGTCTGCTCCCAAAGGCCGTCTCTTTGGAAAGGAGGATGCATCACAAAGCAGACCTGCTCTCTGGCTTTCCCAGGGTGGGGACAGATACTTCACTTCACGGCCCCCAAGGAAAAAGAAGGAATCCTGGATTCCAGAGCTGCAGGATAACTCAGTGGAAAGACTTCAAAAGCTAGATTCATTCAAGGGGGGCAAATTTGTTCCGCTTGGTCGTCTGATGTTTGGAAGGTCAAATGAGACCTACAGGATAGGGAATTCAATCTAGAATTTTGAACAACCCTTTGACTGCATGCAGGTATTAATTTCAGACTGTAATTCTGCACCTGCTTTTGTTCTCTTGGCTTGCTTTTTCAGTTGGACGTAACGTTGGCTTAGATTTCCTGATAGGAGTGGTTGCTGCCCAGCCGGCCATTCTTCCATCTCAGATTCCTCTGTGGCCCAGAGCCACAGGGCTGCCACGAGGCAGAAGTCTGATGTACGCACATCTGATTCCTGTGGGGATCACCTAGCCCCTCCCGTGGAGGAGGGTGTATGAGGACCAACACCCTAAAATAAAGTCACAAAACCACATAAAAATTCACAACCCCTTTACCATCAACTCATACGGATTGTGATTTAATCACTACACCGTGAGCCATCTATGTTACTTTAAAGAGCCATGGGGCGCCTGGGTGGCGCAGTTGGTTAAGCGTCCGACTTCAGCCAGGTCACGATCTCGCGGTCCGTGAGTTCGAGCCCCGTGTCGGGCTCTGGGCTGATGGCTCAGAGCCTGGAGCCTGTTTCCGATGCTGTGTCTCCCTCTCTCTCTGCCCCTCCCCCGTTCATGCTCTGTCTCTGTCCCAAAAATGAATAAACGTTGAAAAAAAAAAAATTAAAAAAAAAAAAAAAGAGCCGTGACCACGGGGGACTTTGGGGAGAACATGTTAAATACGTTAATCTGTCCTTTAGGAGAGGTTGGAAAACATGACTTCCCTTAGTTTTAGTTCTCCTGCAATTTGAATTGCAAAGCAACCAAAACATTGATTTATTCAACCACTTGTTTACCCATGTAACCCAATGTCCATTGAACTAATTCTGGACCAACCACAGAGGGACACAGCAGGATTGCCAGAGGGGTTAGGCCTCGTATACTGTCCCTGAGTCAGCAGGGCAGGTCAAGGCCGACTGAAAGTGGGAACCCATGAGGAAGCACTGGAGTCCGTGGAGCCACTCCGTGCCCTCCATCTTCCAGAATGGGGGCTGGCCACGGGACAACGCAGTTCACTGGGGAGCTCCCCAGGCTGATCCCAGATTCAGAGAAACCTTGCCAGGGTACATGTGGCTGCCACTTGGCTTCTCCTCGCAGCTCTGACAACTTGAGACCCAAATTCATTAGTCCTGGAAACGCGTTTCGGCTTAGCTAAATGGACACATTGCAAACCCACCACTGAGGGAATTGTTTCCACATCCTCTTCGTGTCCTCTCTCTCTCTCAAAGACCTCTAGTTTTTCCCCTTAAACGACATGAGAGGTTTGCACAGTCAGTGAAAGGCCACACGGACGGT